TTCTAATTTTCTTTTCAATGTTATTCTGCAAAATATTATTAAAAATGGGTCAATGAAATCATTTGAAATTCAAATTTCGCGCCAAACACAAGGCTGACACAAGCCAACTACGTACATAAATTTAAAAAAATTTCAACGCTTTTTATTGACCGAAAACGCGATAAATACTCGTCCTAGAGTATTTTAACTAACTGAATCGCAAATTTACGTCTAAAAACCACATTTCGAATTTTTTCATTATTTTTGAAACAAAAATGGCTCAATGAAAACGATTTTAAGTGATTAATTCCATCAAGTGACCCAAAATCGGTCAAAATTTGATAATTTTAGCCCCGAATTGAGGTTATGTTTTGGTTGTGATGCTGCAGTTTAATGACATCTGTCACGCGACAAAGCCAACTGCGTAAATAAATAAAATATGTTATCAGTGTTATCATTTATCACCCTTATCAGTTATTGGTATTTAAAACGTGCGAAATAAACGAAATAATGATTAATGTTTGTTTTTTCTTTAATCTAAAATCCCACTTGACAAAAACAAGCACTTCCTCGGAAAAATCAAGTGGGTAGGAAGTAAACACAAAACTTGATAAAAATTTAGTTGTAAATGAAAAATCCCCGTTTTTGTTGACTTGTAATTTAATAAATATGTGATAATTTGGGCTATTTTGCACGTAAACAGCCCCCAAGGTCACACTCTCCAACTATTTTTGAGCAATAAAAATAGACCTATTTACCTGCAGTCCTATCAGTCAACAAACTATCAAGATCTGGGTCTCTGCGGCTGAAATCCTTGTCTGAAATGAAGGGAATTAGCTCGTCTTCAGCCAAGACACCTGAAATCGCACTTTCAGTCACGCAAATCGCCAAAATTCGGCCTGAATACCTCTTTCAGAGCCCACATTTTTCACGAATTGTTTCACTGCTGAAACATACTCCGGGGGCAGTTTCGAGAGCCCCAACGGCACGAAAAACACCCCCAGGAGCACCAAGTAGACTATGACATACCCCGAGATGTTTTTCGCTATGAAACTAATGACAAGGAACACGAAAGACATGCCGATGCAAAACTGAAAAGTGAGGTTATTTCCTGTGATTTAGCGTTTTTACCCACCGAAGAGGGGCTGTCTTTGCGCAGGGCTTTGAGCGAGAGCACCACGTCGGTGAGGTCGGCTTTGAGCTCGTCCAAGGCCTCCAAATGGGGGGCGCCCCCAATGTCGAAGCAGGAGTCCCCGAGGAACGCCACCAGCGCCAGGAGGAAGACAGCCCCGAAGAGCCTCAGTTGCAGCTGAATCGCGAGCCTGAAACACCGGAAATAGCCCCAAATTGAGACAATTTTGACAGTTACCAGAAGAAGAAGTTGAGGGCGAGGAACACACTCAGGGTCAAAGACACGTCCTCCCAGCTCAGGATCCTGTACCCCAATTCGAAATAGGCGTCAATTTTCGTAATTTCGCGACTTTTCTTCGGTTTTTCCCACAAAAAGCGGATTTTTCGCGTGAAAAAATCCATTTTGTTGACACTTGGTGACCTTGAAGGGGTGATTTCAGGAGTGTTTGAGGGAAACTGCGCGCATTTTTTACCAAATCACTCGTGATTAAAATTTGTGCTTATTTTGACGATTTTCAAAGAATCATTCGGTGGGGATCGGATCACGCGACTGCGCCCCACCAACATGCGCGATTTGTGAATGGAGGCGAGATTTGCATCGAATGGGGCTCAAGGGCGCCCCCAAGGGCGAACGAATCGATGAGTGAGGCCTTGATTTGGTGTAAACAATCAAACATTTGTTTTAACAATGACAGATGTTCAAATTTAGCGCCATGTTTCTAGCACTACCGCTGCGATGAAGTCGTCGGCGTGTTTAACCGATTCAGCCAAATTGGGATTTTATCGACCGGTAAACCACGCAATTGACTGATGGAGTCGTTTGGGGTGGGATTTATTTACCAAATTTCGGGTTTCAAGGGGTAAAACTCGTAATTTTGTTAATTTAATGACACAGGTCTACCATGACGATTAAATCGTGGGCCCTCAATGACAAAGACGACTGGCCCAGTGTTGCCATATCTGGTGATTTTTATGCTAGTTTGTTGGTGCTTTGGTGAAAACTTTGTAAATGTAACTGCAGTTACAGCAGAAATTAATAAATTTGAAGTTTTTTTGCATTTTTTGAGAATTTTGCACGTTTTTTAGCCAGAAACGTGGTCAAACTTGCACAAAAAAGCCATAAGCCACCAGATTAGTTAAGAAACAGTTTTGTTTCTTTTTTGGCAGAAAATCATTAAATTGGATCAAAATAGCCTTTTTCCTCGCGTTTTAGTACACACGTTTTTTTAATCAGAAACAAAATTTCGTTGAAAACCAACTGAAAATTCCCTAAATTGGGCCAAAAATTGTGTTATTTTTGCATTTTTAAAATTTTTAGCAGGTTTTTGAAATAAACACGCAGTTATTTGAAAAAATTTAGCTAAAAATTTAACAAACTTTATTGAAATTGGTATTTCCTCGATTTATTTTGTTTTTGAACCAGCGACTTTTTATTTGCAAAATCTTGTCAAAACATGTCTAAAAATTACTAAAATTATTTAAAATTTATTCGATTTAGCTCGTTTTTGAGTGAAATTTTGACAAAAAATAGGCCGAAAAAAGCAAAATTTTGTCGAAAATTACTTTATTTTTTTCAAACACTTTTTTGGGCTAAAATCTCAGTTTTTTCATTAAAAACAAATCAAAAAGTTTTAGTACGTTTTTTAATCAGAAACAACTATTTTGCAAAATTTCATTGAAAACAAACTGAAAATTCACCGAATTGGACAAAAAATTTGTAATTTTTATATTTTTACAGTGTTTAGCACGTTTTTGAAATAAACATGCAGTTTTTTGAAAAAAATTTGCTAAAAACGTAACAAACTAGATTGAAATTGGTATTTCCTCGATTTATTTCGTTTTTGAACCAGGGACTTTTTATTTGCAAAATCTTGTCAAAACATGTCCAAAAATTATTTGAAATTTATTCGATTTAGCTCGTTTTTGAGTGAAATTTTGTCAAAAAATAGGCCGAAAAGGGCAGAATTTCGTCGAAAATTGTATTACTTTATTTTTTTTAAGCCTTTAAAGCACGTTTTTAAACCAAAATCTCAGTTTTTTCGTTAAAAACAAATCAAAAACAGTTTTATTTCGTTTTTTGTCAAATAAGTCACTGAATTTGATCGAAATGTATACCTAGTATTTTGTTTTTTTTCCTCGCGTTTTAGTACGTTTCTTAGTCAGAAACAAAACTATTTTGCAAAATTTTTTTTGAAAACAAAATGAAAATTCACCAAATTGGGTCAAAAATTGTGTTATTTTTACATTTTTAGAGTGTTTAGCACGTTTTTGAAATAATTACAAAATTACAAAACATGTTTTAAATTGATGTTAATTCGTTTGTTTTATTCGATTTAGCTCGTTTTTGAGTGAAATTTTGTCAAAAAACAAGCCGAAAAGCACATATTTTTTTCGAAATTCATGTTACTTTACATTTTTCAAGTCTTTAAGCACGTTTTTAAACAAAAATCTGAATTTTCTGTGAGATTTTGCAAAACAAACAAACAAAAAAACAAAATCATTTTTTTTCAAGTCTTTTAGAATGCTTTTCAAATAAAACGCAAAATTTTGTTGAAAACAATCCAAAAATCAGAGAATTGGACCAAAAATCGTGTTTTTCATGTTTTCGAGCACGTTTTTTAATCAGATTTGCAAGAAAAACGGAAACCGTTTTTCAAAAAAAATTTCAGCTGTTTTGGTGAATTTATTTTTTTTCAGCTGGCGACACTGGATTTGCTTTGTTTTTTTTAAAACACCAGGCACCTACGATTATTTAAAAGACTTGTGACGCGCAAAATGTGATTAAAATTCTTATTTTGACGTTTGAGTGCGCAATTTGCATCGAATGGGGCTCAAGGACACTCCAAGGACAAACAAATCGATAAGTAAATCTTGATTAAATAATCAAAAATTTATTTTTCTAATTCAAATTTAGCGCCACGTTTCTAGCAGCACCAGTTCAATAAAAAAGTCGCCGATTCATTCAAGTATTGGATTTTATCGCCCGATAAACACGTGGACATTTGTGTGAAATTTATTTCAAAAATCTCCGAAATTTCGTTAATTAGTAATAAGACAGCTAGCTCTACCAGAGCGATAAAATCGTGGGCATGCGAAATGACAAACACGGCTTGCTTTGTTTTTTATTCAAACACCATGCACCTATGATTATTTACAAGATCGGTAAAAAATACATTTGCAATGTTATCAAAGGTACACGAAATGAACTTACGTAAATATAAAACTTTATTGGAGGTTAAATTACAATTATTTCTTATTATACCAATAAAAAAGTTATATTATGAATGAACAGTTCTACAAACTACAAAAACCAATGAAAAAAATTACGACCTAGTTAAATTCCTCAGTTGTGTAACAAACCCATCATTCGGTCGAACACAACTTCGTGCATTTTTTACAATATTATATGCATCCAAAAAATTATAACCGCGAACTAAAATCAAATAACCTATGACAATGGAGGCCGAACGGCTCACACCGGCGTTACAATGCACTAGAATATTACTCTGTCTTTGCACAGCATTCTCGATAAAATCGACACTTTGGGCGAGGACCTCTTCCAAGTCCGTCTCCGGTAGATCCAAACACTCGACAAATTTGCAATTTTTCCCACACTTGACTTCAATTCCGACACTGAGAACGTTTTCAATACAATAATTTCGCAAAATTTCCGAATCACAACAATCCTGTGACCCCAAATAGATAAAATCGGTGATTTTAGCAGGGACATTATCCGGTTTAGTATCAACAACAAATCCAAATTTTTTCCGGTGAAATGGCGTGGTTTCTGGGCCACACTGTATAAATTTCTGACCATCCAAGTGTGTCAATATCGTAGAAGTGGGCCTCAAAGTGTGCTTTTTCGAGCGCAATTCGTCCAAAAAACTCATATTTAAGACTAAAAACTACTTTTTCCTAATATTTAATTGGTTAGTTGGGTGAAGCTGAGCGACTCCTGGACTTGCTGCGTTCTTTACTCGGGGAGCGTGACCTTGACCTGGAGGCCTCCTTCGAGCGTCTCGGGGACCTGGAGCGCGACCTTGACCTCTCAACCGACTTCTTGCGCGAGTTTGATCTCGATCTATCAAGCGATTTCTTGCGTGAGTTTGACCTTGATCTGGATTTGCTCGGTTTGGGGCTCGCCGATCTGGACCTGCTCTTAGACTTGGAGCGGCTACGAGACTTGGAGCGGCTACGAGACCGACTACGACTGCTGTACGACCCTGACCGTCTGCTACGCTTTCTATCCTCGATCAATTTAATTCGTCTACCGTTCAATTCGGTATCGTCTAGTTTCTCAATGGCGTTTTTCAGGTCTGAATAGGAGGCGAATTCGACGACGCCCTCATTGCGGTGCTGTTTATGAGCGTCGGCATAGGTGACTTCGCCCGCTTGTCTCATGTAATCTTTCAAATCTTGCCAACTAATGCGCGAGGATAGATTTTCGACGATAAGTCGATAATTGGTTCTTGTGGGGGGACCGTAGCGTTCATGGGAGCGGTGGTCGCTGCGGCTGGACCATTGGTCGCGACCTCGGGGAGTCCCTCGGGCCCGTTCGACAGTCACACGCTCCCCTAAAAGTTTTTTACCGTTTAATTCATATACAGCATCGTCGGCATCGCGATGATCATCAAATTCAACAAACCCGTAGCCGTTTTTGATGAGCACGTCCCGCATGCGACCGTAGCCCCTGAAAAAGCGCTCTAAGTCCCGTTCGGTGGTCCCGTACGGCAGCCCCCCGACGTACACGCGAGACCCTACCATCTTTGCTATTGGCCCCCTCGATACACTGATCTATCGTACGAGACGTCGCAAAGATACAGACCGTATGCGGGGACTGTCTTTATTCTGTCGTTCCAACTGCGGTGCGAGGGCACTTCCAGCATCAATTTTACCTCTTTAGGGGTTATTTTACCTTGGGCTAGGGCTACCAACGATGCCACCATACGACGTACCTGGCGAAAGAAACACTTTTACAACGGATACCTTGCATGGGAAGCCATTTTGAAGCGTTTCCCTCCAACTCCACCGGCCATTTTGAGGTTATGAAACGTGTCCCAGACAAAAACAACGCTTTTACAAACACAACAACTATACTCACTAAAAACGATATTTACTTGAATTATCCAATGGCCCTCACACGATTTTCGACGGTTTTAAACACTTTTTCGGAGAAAAAACACCGAGATCAAAGTCTGCACGGAAATTACGAAAATTCTAGAGTGACGCAGCACTACCAACCTAACCGTGACGTCACCAACTCAAACACACAACCAAACACCGGAATTATACCAAACCGACACAACACAACCCCACTCCCAAGTGACACAAACCCAAAAACAGCCCCTCTACACTCAAACAACCCACAAAACAACAATTACACGATTTCATTCAACGTGGTTAAGTTGCCAGTCTGGGTCACAAACCGCGCGCAATTTAAATCACACTCACATGGCGGCTATAAAGTGGTGTTTCACCCCTCAGTCTGACACAAAATGGGGCCAAGTGTAAGAATCACACTCCCTTGACACTTTCCCCACAAATTACACACATTTTCGACTAAAAAACCCCAAAATGAAAGTCTGGAGTAACACTACCAACCTAACCACAATTCCATCAATACAAAAACACAACCAAAGACCGAAATTATAACAAAAGGAGACACCACAACCAAACCCCACGTGACACAAACCCTAAAACAGCCCCTCTACGCTCAAACAACACCAAAAACGACATTTATTACATTTCATTTAACGTGGTTAGGTTGCCAACCTAGGTGACAAAAGGCGCGTAATTTGAATTCCACCCACCTGCCGGTAAAGAAAACCCGTAGCTTCGACATAAATATTGTAAAACTGGTAATTCTCGCGGGTCCCTGTCGCCACGGGGGGCCAACTGTAGGGACTATAAGTTGAGGGCCCCCCGTCGCAAATCTCAACCCGATTGACAAATCTCCGGGTGATTTTATCAAGCTCGTGTGATCCGCGCCCCATAAAGGTCCGAAAATCGTGCATTCCTTCGAACAATTTCGCCCCTTGTCTCATTTCGTCAATATTGAAAGAGTCGCAACTGAAATTGACCGTTATTTTGTCTTTTTTACCCCAAAAAACTGTCTTACTAGATGAATAAACACCGTTGGTACTCCTCAATTGGTAATAAATTGAATAAAGTCGCGTTTTCTAATATTTCGGTCTTTGCGGTGGCTATCCGGTAGAGATAAGTGCGCGAGATGGGGGTATGTCGACAGTGGAAATCGGGGGGCACCCAAAACGTCTTAATCACCCTAATTGGGACCTCATTTTTGGTGAAAAACCGATTAAGACAAATCGTGATCGTCTTGGGTTCATACTCGAGCCCATTCGCCCGGTAGAGATCCACATGACACGTGGAATTCAACGCGTGGACCCCAGAATCGGTCCTGAAACCACATTTTGCACGTGTTTTTCACACTTTCAGTATTTTACCTGCTAGACAGGAAAACCGCAGGGTCATTAGTCGGGTTTAGCTGTTTCAAGGCCATCTCGAGCTGCCCCTGCACGGTGGACGGGTCATCAGGACGGGGAAACCTCCCGGTGACTTGTCTCTGAGCCCCCCTAGAATTTTTTTTACAACGTTTGGGCACCAATTATGAATGAAATTAATACTTAAAAGGCGTCCCGATGTAAGAAAAGTGCAACAAGTAGCGGTTCAGGGCCATTTTCGTGAAAAACATCGCGTTTTGTCACATGTGAGGTTATGTAACATTGAGGTTATGTCACAAATAAAAAGTCAATAACGATGATTGGGCCCCAATTATGACTCAAACTAACTCGCGAAGGAGGCCCCTATGTGCGAAATGTGCCGCAAACAGCGATTCAGGGTCATTTTTGTGAAAAACATCGCGTTTAAATGTTTGTAAGGTTATGTAACATTGAGGTTATGTCACAAATAAAAAGTTGGATAACGATGATTGGGTCCCAATTATGACTCAGACTGACACATGAAGGGGGCCTTGATGTACAAAATGTGCAGCAAGAAGCAATTGGGGCCCAAAACATCCCTTTTTTTCGCAAATGTAATTTAACATTGAGGTTATGTCACAGAAATAAAGCTGTTTTTAACGATTAGGTAGCAATTAGTATTGAAAATAACACACGAAGGGGGCCTCGTTGTATGAAACGTGCAACAGCAATTTGTTTTTTTTTAAATGTGATGTTATGTCACAATTAAAAAGTTGATAACGATGATTAGGCCCCAGTTATGACTTAAACTGACACATGAAGGGGGCCCTGATGTACGAAATGAGCAGCAATTAGCGAATCAGGGCCATTTTTGTAAAAACATCGCGTTTTAATTAATGTGAGGTTGTGTCAAATAAAATGTTGTTTCTAACGACTGAATACCAATTATGAGTGAACTAATACGTGAAAGAGGGCCCCGATACACGAAATGTGCAAAAAGTCGCAGTTCAGAGGTATTTTCGTAAATAACAGCTTCTTGTGAATGTGAGGTTATGTCACAAATAAAGCTGTTTTTAGTGATTATGTAGTAATTATTTTTGTAAATAGCACAAGAAAGGGGCCCCAATGTATGAAACGTGCAGCAAATGGCCATCCAGGTCCAATTTTGTGAAAAAAATCGCTTTTTTTTCAAATGTGAGGTTATGTAACATTGAGGTTAAATCGAATAAAAAACTTGTTTTAATTAAACAAAAACTTAATCGCTATCGGAATTGGCATCACTTGACGCCGGTGTACTCTCCTCGCTCTCAGATTTACTCTTCTTTTTCTTGTCTTTGGGTTTGTCACGTTCGGTATCAGACCCTTTCCGTTTCTTGCCTTTATCATCATCGCTATCACTACTCGAATCATCATCCTCGATAAATTCCTTGCTTTTGACTTGACTCGGCTTAACCGACGGCATCGACGTAGTTTTCTTCTTCGTGGGGGCTTTCTTCTCACTGGACTTTTTCTCCTCGGATTTGGCGCCCCCCGACGCCTCATACTCCTTCATCGCCTTGTTGTACTCCTCCTTGGCCTTCGCCGCTTTACCCTCCCACTCAGACTTGTCTTTTAACTCCTTCCACATCTCGCCCCCTTTCTTCGCAATTTCGGTAATCTTAATCCCGGGATTATCCGCCTTGATTTTATCCCTCATCTCATTCAACCATAACATGAAAGCGGTGCTCGGCCTTTTGGGCCTATTTTCATCCTTTGATTTGGATTTTTTCGCGCGTTTTTGACGCGGTTTCTCCGAGACAGTTTTAGTCTTCTTCTTCTCTTTCTTCTCCTTTTCCTTCTTGTGCTTCTTCTTGTGGTCATCACCGGAGCCCTTTTCTTCGTCCTCCTCAGACGTGGAACTCGGACTTGAGTCAAACTCCTCTGCAACGTCACTCTCATCCTGAGGGGGCTTAAAATCTTCATCAGTACTCTCATCTTCACTAGGACCATCATCATCATCCTCATCGCGTTCCTGCGCCTCGGCCTTCACCCTCTCCAAGTACGCATCGGGGGCTGCTTCATTGTCCGAGTCCCCGAAATCGTCATAAGTGCCCCCTTTATCATTCTTACCCCGATTTTTAATATTCAATTTTTTCGTTGTAATAAAATCGAAAAGTTTGTTGTATTCCTCCTTTTCAATGCTACTAAATGTGTGCACAGTCCCCGATTTGAGATGAATTTCGAAATCAAAAGACCGGGTGCTTCCCCCCCCACGGGCGAAATTCACCGAGGCAACCTCCTCGAACCGGATATGAATGGGGGGCTTATGGACGTACATGAAACCGCGTTCAAGGGGGTACAAGTACCCGGCGGCTGCCTTGAACGAACAACCGATAGCTGGGGTACCCGAATGCCCCACGAAGCCCCCAGGACCGGTCAATTTCCGATTAATTATCACTTTCATGACTTTACCCAATACCTCATACGTGGGGCCCGACAATTCCTTATCCAACTTGCCCTCATACTTGTCTTTAAGCTCCTCACTGAAATAATTAATTAGACAAAAATTAAATTAAATTAATTGTAATTACTCAGTGAATGGTAACTCGATTGAAGTCTCCTCTTCTTGTCCAAACAACAAGACTAAAAAGTGGTAACGTGTTTGGCCCTGTTTTATGGGGGGGTCAAGACTCACGACGAAAAACATCTGTCTGTTGTCTTTATGGGGGAGAAGAAATAGACGCAAGACAGTCGACATGGGGATTTTATAATCGAAAGTTTTCCCATGTAATTGGAAAAAAGTCTGGAAGATTTTAATATCGTAGCGGCCACTGGAAAATAGGGTTTTTTGTTTTGTCAATCTGGGGGAAAAAATACTTACCGTGGGGTGAGACATTGAATTTCCCTAAAAATGGCAATAGCGTCCCCTGAGACACTAATAACGGAGGCTTTTTTCATGACTTGCTTCTGGAAGGCCTCCACGGGGTCCACATCCCCGGCGAGCTCATTCGAGGGGATGAAAAAGCGCATTTCCATGAGACTCACGGGGGCGTCGTCGTTCTAAAACCGATTATTAGTGGCTGGGTGAGAGAAGGGGGCCCCCACCTGGTGGAACTCCATCGTGATTTCGTTCTTCCCCGCCGTGCATTGCGAGACGTGGTTGAGGGGGATTTCAAAGGCGCTGTTGTGCCCCACTTCGAAGCTCAACACCGAGCCGTTGAACTTGGCCGTGCCCCAATTCCACCCCTTGAGACTCAATTCCTTCTCCAACATGTCGATTTTGTAGGTCGTGGAGAAGAATTTCGCGATTTTTTCCTTTTCGGAGTCCTTGAAGCCGATGAAACGGTGCAAGGAGCCGTTTTTGAGGAAGAGGCGGAGGCCCAAAGACCCGGCGAAGTTCTGGAAGTTGACGGCTTCAAAATCGGACGCGGGGATTGACTCCACTTTGCCCGTTTTTGAGTTCTTGAAAATGATGTTTTGGTCGGTCATTTTGAGCTTCCCGCCGGTCTGAAACACGAATTTAGGAGAAAAGTGCAAGAAATGAGGGGGCACATACCATGCAGCCTTTGACTTCGGCCGAGATGTCCGAATATTCCAAGAAATCCATTTTGGGGGGCCCGCCACCAAATCTAACCCAAATTCACTCACACTTAAGTTCAATACTTGCAGTTTTAAGAATAATTAACGAAAAACTAGCACAAAGACACAAAACTTGGCTCAATTATTGTTTATGATGCTTTTTTGGGTTACTATTTTTTTGAGGTTATGCCGCCATTTGTCGCATTTCGTCAGGGTGCCAACACAACCCCGCGAAATTACTAGAAAAAAGTTGGGAGTTTTAAAAGTGTCAAATTCAAAATTGTGTTTTTTTAAATTAACAACATTAAAATGCAATGAATTCTTTTCAGTCTCTAGCTTGGAAATGCTTAAGCTTTGGCCGAGGTGTCCCGGGAATTCACATTGTGGGATCACTCTACAAAAATAACTAAATTTCAGTCACACATTCAAATTTGCAAATTATTAACGAAAAACTGGCACAAAAACACAGAATTTGTCCCATTTGTTTGTTATGATGCTTCCTTTTTGGATTTATTTCGTCAGGCTGCCAACACAATCCCGCAAAAACACTAGAAAAAAGTTGGTGGTATTGGCTCAATTTTACACAGTCGGGTTTAATACGTCCAATTTTTAAAAGAATTAACGAAAAACTAGTACAAAAACGGAAAATTTGTGCTTCTTTGTGTCACGATTTTTGCCATTTGACGTAATTTCGACCTTGAAGTCAGGTAACTAACACAACCCGCCAAATCACTAAAAAAAGGTTGGCACTTTCAAGCGCGGTAAATTCAAAATTGCTTTTTTTTTTAACTAATCACGGACTAAAAATCAATGAATTTTTTTTACTCTTTTTTTAGAAGAATGTAAAAGGTGTAATAACGTGTCATTTGCAATTTATAAAGCGAAATAAATTTCTGCTTGACTTGAATTACTTTGTAGCCCACATAAAACGTATCCAGTTTCAAAAATAATGTCACTTAACATGAAAAATGCTTTTGTGGTCGGAAATAATGCGACTGAAAACCACAAAACAGTCAAAATAAAGAAAAAAACATTGTGGTCGCTTTATCTGAAAGTTTGGAAATTATCGTAAAAGTTGGCGGTTTTGGGGCCATCATATGGGACATAACACGAAATGAAGATTATTTTGTTAATTTTTTTTGTAAAAAAATGTGTAAATAAACTTTTAGTCGTTGAAAGGGATCATTTTAAGGTGGCAACCATGCAAAAATTCAAACAATCCTAACCTCAATCTTCCCTAAATATTATTTTTTTCAAATAAATGTGTACCCACGTAGTAAAAAATAATTAAAATGAAACATTGGGTAGCAAACATAAAGATTTATGTCATTATTAATGTGATTAAATTTGTTCTAAATGTTACTTTTTGTGTGAATTGATTTCGACAACCTACTTGATGCACATTAATATAAAAACGAGTATATTTTGTTTTCCTATAATTTCAAATATTGAATAATTAGAGAAAAAATGAGGTAATTAACACAATAAATACTATTATTTTGTATTTTTTTTTGTAAAGCAATCTCTTAAGTTAATACCTAATCAATAAAATTTTGTTTGGATGCCCAAACGTTGATCAAAGTGGTAGGTGGTTTAGAAACTGTCAAACTGAGAAAATCCATTTTTATGGAATATTTATGAAAGACTCCTTTCTCCGGCGTTCAATGGACAATCGCAGGTTGATGACTTTTTTCCTTCCGTCAATGACAGTTGTCTGTCAAACCCGGCCTAGCCAATCCGGCGTCGCCGTTCCGGTCACATGACCCGCGACTTGTTTATTTTGAGCATCAGCATCTTGATTTCAGGAGAGGCGCTCATCGAGTGCAGTGGTCGTGTAAGTGTCTCGTCGCGAGTTGCTGAAAAAATCATCGCGTTTCAGTTTCACGCAGTTTTCAGTCGATATGTAGGAAAAAAAACCACCGCGCGAATGGCTACGAGTGCAGTTTTGTGACCTGAAAAATATTCTCCTCTTCCATTTGCTCGTCTTGTATGTAGTTTATAAAATGCTGGGCGTCTTGAAGCGACGTTGGAAACCCAAAAGGTGAGATATTTTGGGAATTGCTGCGACCTTGACGCTTTTTTACATCGCCATTTTTAAAATAGACCACGGCAAGAGGCGATTTTGACCAAATTTATTGTGAATCATTGGGGAAAAGTAGGCTGGTTTTCCATTTTGCAATTGTTACGTTTATTATTATTGATCCCGGTGGCCTGGTAATGCCCCCCGCCCTCCGCGATGCTCAGCTGTTCCACTGTTGATATCTTATCGATCCGGGGAATCTAACCTCAAACTTCAATTAAAATGTCGATTTTCCCTATTTTTAAGGAAATTTGGGTTTGAGGAAACAATAAATTGATAAGGTGATAAGATTATCGCAATTCGTGGAGAAAATATTGGATGAGTCCAAAGGGTAGCTCAGTGGGAGGCTTTAAATAAAGTGGGATGAAATTTATGAGTAAATATTGAGGGTCAAGAATGTGAATGTGGGTAAAAATAGCTCATTGAATTAAATCGATTTTTGTTTAAATTAAATTAATCGTAAATGCAAGACTTGACCTGATTTAATGGGAATTTATTCCATTTTTGATTGTTTTGTGTGATAGTTGGCTTTGACACTTTGACACCGTGTATAAAAGTAGGCTTTGACTGTTTGACAGACAACACCCTGTATAATATTGTATCAAATTTGCAGATCTGACCAATTTTTAATTCTTTTTGCATCGTTTTTTGTTATTTAATAGACGTAAGAGTTGGCTTTGATAATTTGACAGAAATCTTCAAATTATTAAGTTTAGGTTATTTTTTCAATAACAATTAATTGGAAAAAAGCGATTGTTTGTTTTATTTCATTAACTATAAAAAGTAGTCTAAAATTAAAATTTTGAGCTTAGCAAAGAGTTGGCTTTGATATTTTGACAGAAAACATTTAGTTATTTTATTCTTAATTAGTACTTAGTTTATTGAGGAAAATATGTTATCTATTAATATAATAATAGTTATTTTTACAATTGAATTAAAATTAAATCAAGGTCTGACCTGATTTTAATGGGAATTTATTCCATTTTTTATTGTTTTGTGTGATAGTTGGCTTTGACACTTTGACACCATGTATAAAAGTAGGCTTTGACAGACAACACCCTGTATAATTTTGTATCAAATTTGCAGAAAAACTGCTCTGTTGTGACCAATTTTCAATTGTTTTTGCATCGTTTTTTGTTATTTAACAGATATAAGAGTTGGCTTTGATAGTTTGATAGAAATTTTCAAATTATTAAGTTTAGGTTATTTTTTCAATGACAGTTAATGGAAAAAAGTGATTGTTTATTAGTTTTATTTTGATTAACTATAAAAAAGTTTTGAGCTTACCAAAGAGTTGGCTTTGATATTTTGACAGAAAGCATTTTCGTTATTTTATTCTCAATTAGTACCTAGTTTATGGAGGAAAATATGTTATTTATTAATACAATAATAGTTATTTTTATAATTTAATTGAAAATTAAATCAAGGCCTGACCTGATTTTAATGGGAATTTTCAATTTTCCCATTTTTCTATTGTTTTGTGTGCAGAAAGTGCGATAGTTGGCTTTGACACTATATGTATGTATAAAAGTAGACTTTGACTATTTGACAGAAATCACCCTGTATATTATTATAGAAAAACTTTTTCAAAATAACAATTTTCTATTGTTTTTATTATATAAAGTTGGCTTTGGCAGTTTGAAAAAAATTACCCTAAACATAAAATTTAGTTTTCTTTTTTTGATAATTTGCTTGTTTTTTAATTAACTAAAAAAACTGGTCTAAAATTAAAACGTTAGGCCTAACAAAGAGTTGGCTGTGAGATTTTGACAGAAACCACCATGAATAAGAATCTATAATGTCAAACTTACGTTATTAGTTAGTAGTTTAGATGCAAAATGTGTTATTTATGAATAAAAGAATAACAATTATTATTATTATTTAATTAAAAATTTATTTATTTTTGCTATTTTTATTGTTTTATGTTGTAGTTGGCTTTGACAGTTTAACACCCTGTATATTATTGTATCAAAGTTGCAAAGAAACTCTTCAAAAATAACGATTTTCAATTGTTTTTGCATTTTTTTTATCAACCATAAGAAACCGTTCCAAAATTGACATTTTGAACATAGCAAAACAACACAGTTAGCTTTGACAATTTGACAGAAAATGCAATGACACACATTGTAAGTTGGCTTTGACAATTTGTTGCTATAGTATCAATAGTCGTTGCCAAGATGGCGGCAATGACAATGTTTGTTGTCATGGAAACTGTAAATGGTGGATTGCCGTTCTAGGGCGAAAAATCGCATTTTCGTCTGAAATTCGACACTTTTCACGCCCGAAAGACGAGACAGAGGGTAAAAAAATATTTTCATGGTTTCGTAACAATCGTTCCACTCGAAAGCCTTCGAACAAGTCAACTCTTTTGTTATTTTACCATCGACTATATAATTTCTGATCCAATTGTAATACAATAATGGTGGTAGTTAGACGGGCAATGAATATTTATTTGATTTTTTATGCAACAGTTGCCACCCCTGCTGCAAGGAAAAGACGGTAACAAGAGAAAGGCGTTTAAGTACAGTGCTGCCAAATGTGCATTTTATTGCATTGTAAATAAGAGGAAGACTAAACAGATGAAACTGGGGAAAAAAACAAGTCAAGTTTGCAAACCTCGTAAAAAAAATTAATACGAAAATAGTTTACGAGGCGATGCCGAGTATTTTATTTATTGTCCGTAAAATGGCCATTTTGATTTATGTAAAAATGCAAATGAAGTAAAACCTGGGTCACTAGATCTCACGATTCCCATCATTGTTTCACATTAAATATCCATACTATTCAAATTTTTGCGTTTTTTTTTATCAAAACAATGAGCAAGGTCACGTGTGAGACATCCGGCATATTGTGCCAACTGCGAAGTTGCGGATATCCCCAAATAACCCAAGAAAATTCCAACTTTTTCCACGCATTGCGTGGCCCACAATTGCAAATGCAATAACTTGGAAAGTGGATATACAGAGTGTAGGTCGCTGAACTCGACTCTCGTTGCCAGACAGCGTGACGCCTCCACTTCTCTCAAACGCGAAAAAACTTTGATTAATCATCACTCATTCGCAAACAAAAAAAAAATCCGCGAAATTCGGGGTCTTTAACTGGTATGGAAGGCGTTTTTTCGGGAATTTGGAGACTATACTCTGAATTATTATCAGGCAAAAGAGGGATTTTCGCGAAATT